ACCATAGCTGCTGTTATCAACATAGCGCTGTCAATCACATAGCTGCTGCTAATGCTATTCACATAGCTGCTTGTTATCACTGGCTGCTGTTATCAGCATAGCTGCTGCTATCACATAGCTGCTGTATCAACATAGCTGCTGTTATCACATAGCGCTGCAATCACATGAGCGTGCTGCTATGCACATAGCTGTTGTTATCACATTAGCTGCTGTTATCACAGTAGGCTGCTGTATCACATAGCTGCGCTATGGCTATCACATAGCTTCTGTATATGCACAAGCTGCTGTTTTATCACATAGCTGCTAGGCTATACAATAGGCTGCTGTTATCACATATAGCTGCTGTTTCATCATAGCTGCTGCTATGCTACGACATATCTGCTGCTATCACATACTGCTGCTATCACATAGCTGCTGCTATCACATAGGCTGCTGTTATCACATAGTTTGCTGTTAATCACATAGCTGCTGTTATGCACGAGTAGCTGCTGTTATCACAATAGGCTGCTGCTATCACATAGCTTGCTGTTATCACATAGCTGTTGTTATCACATAGCTGCTGCTATCACTAGCTGGCTGTTATCCATACGCTGCTATCACCATAATCGCTGCTATCACATAGCGTCTGTTATGCACATAGCTGCTGGCTATCCACATAGGCGCATCACATAGCTGCTGTTATCACATAGCTGCTGCTATCGACATACTTGCTGTTATCACATAGCTGCTGCTATCTATGCACATCGCTGCTGTTTATGCAACATAGCTGTCTGCTATCACAAATACTGCTGCTATACACATATCGCTGCTATCACCATAGCTGCTGTTTATCACATAGCTGCTGCTATCACATAGGCTGCTATCAGCATAGCTGGCTGTTATCACATAGCTGCCGTTATCACATAGCTGCTGCTATCACATAGCTGCTGTTATCACATAAGCGCTATCACATTCTGGCTGGCTATCACATTAGCTGCTGCTAAATCACAATAGCTGCTGCTATCACATAGCTGCTGCTATCAATAGCTGAATGCTGACACATGAGGCTGCTGTTATCACTAGCTGCTGCTATCACATAGCGTCTGTAATCACATAGCTGCTGCTATCACATAGCTGAGCTGCTATCACATTAGCTGCTGCTATCAATAGCTGCTTGCTATCAGCTATAGCTGCTGCTATCACATAAGCTGGGCTGCTATCAAACATAGCTGCTGCTATCACATAGCTGCTGTATCACATAGCTGCTGCTATCACCATAGCTGCTGCTATCACATGGTTTCTGTTTATTCTACATGGCTGCTGCTATGGGCCTATCCATAGCTTGGCTGTTCTCCACATAGCTGGCTGTTATCACATAGCTGCTGTTTCACAATAGCTTGCGCTCTAGCTATCAGCATAGCTGCCTGTTATCACATTAGCATGCTGTTATCACATAGCCTGGCTGTTATCACATAGCTTGCTGTAATCACAATGAGGTGCTGCTATTCACATAGCTGCTGTTATCAGCATAGGACTGCTGCATCACATAGCGTGGCTGTTATCACATACTGCTGTTATCACTATAGCTGCTGGCTTATCACATAGCTGCTGTTATCACATAAGCCTGCTGCTATGCTATCACATAGCTGGCTGTTATCACATAGGCTGACTGCTCATGCTATCACATAGCTGCTTTATCACATAGCTGCTGCTATCACATAGCTCTGTTATCACATAGGCTGCGTGTTATCCCCCCGGGAAAAAACAAAATAAGCTGCTGCATCAACATAGCTTGCTGCTATCAACATAGCTGCTGCTATCACATAGCTGCTGGCTATCAACATAAGCTGCCGCTAATTACCATAGCTTGCTGCTATCACATAGCTGCTAGTTATCACATAGGCTGCTGTTATCACATGAGCTGCTGCTATCAACATAGCTGCCCCTTGGTTTTTATCAATATCTGCTGTTATCCACATAGCTGCTGCTAATCACATAGCTAGCTATCACAGCTGCTGGCCTGTTATCAGATAGCTGCATGTTACACATAGCTGCTGCTATGCTATCACATAGCTGCTGTTATCACATAGCTGCTGCTATGCTATCACAATAGCTGGCTGTTATCACTAAGCTGGCTTGCTATCACAACTGCTGGTTATCACATAGCGCTGTTACACATAGCGTGTTATCACATAGCTGCTGTTAATCACATAGCTGCCCTGTTCATCACATAGCGCTGCTATGCTGACATGAGCTGCTGCTAATCCAGCATAGCTGCTGCTGATTTACATAGCTGCTGTTATCGGACATAGGCTATGCTGTTAATCAGCATACCTGCTGTTATCAATAGATGCTGCCTAGCGACATAGAAAGGCTGTTATCGACATAGCTGCTGTTATCAATAGCTGCTGCATTCACATAGCTTGCTGTTATCACATAAGCGCTGTATGCACATAGCTGCCTGCGAATCACATAGCTGCTGTATCACATAGCCTGGCTGTTATCAACATTAGCTGCTGGC